GTACTTTTTTCCCTATTATTATGCATGTGGAGATTATTGTTCCGAAAAGAAAGTATGTTTGGCACTAGTATCTTAAATATGCATTGTGCACCAAGTCTGTGTTTCTGTTCTTTTGTTCTTTTAGTGTGTTTCTACATTTCTATCAGGTTCCTTGTCTTTAGAAGTAACATCGAGTCGATTAAGGTTATGGGTACATATTTCTTCCATGATACTTAATATTCTTATTTGCTGGTCTAGGCATTGGAAAAACTGTAAAAGAAAAAGTTTGTGCACATACGAGCCGCGATATTCGAGCCATAGCAAGTCAGTTGGTTAATGTATGGCTTGAAATATTCCGCAAAGAGAAAGCTTTTGGTGGCGGCCGTAATCTGTTGAGGCAAACGAGTACTTCTGATTCCTTCAAGAGAAAATCTCTTAAAGAGTCATCCTCAGCAAAGCCTCCTCTACACTCTGACCATGTTGCTTCAGAGATCAAAGGTAGGACACAGGCTTTTGCATCGGTTGGAAGCCACTTAGGATCTAATGCAAACATCAGGAGAGAGAGTAGCAAACCTGTCAAACTGGAAACGGTGTTACACAGTTCAGTTAGCATATTGGAAACTGAGATGGAGGATAGCAACCTTGGTATGTCGGAAGAAGAGCAGGCTGCATTTGCTGCAGCAGAAGCAGCTCGAGCTGCAGCTGAAGCTGCTGCTAAGGTTTGTCTCTCATTGTACTTGGGAACATATCCATAACTCAATAGTTTAGGTGTTGTAAAATCTTGCTGCTACCTTGTAAAATAGTGAGTCTTGTTTGTCTTGTGGACAAATTTTTTTCCCCCCTGAAAAATGCTAATTTTGAACTTAGAAGTTATCCTTTTTCTTTTCATTCCTATTTAGATTAACTTGCTTTATACTTTTAGAGATAAGCATAACTCTTAATATTGTCAAGTTAGGTTTTTTATCAGGTATTAAAGAGCTCAGTAGCTTGCTGCTATACTATTTTGATCAACTTGATGCTTTTAGCTGTGGATTGTCCAGTAATGATGGTTGATTGCCTTGGAAATGCAAAGTTGCCATTACACTTCGTTTGTGCTTTCTTTTAGTAATTTATCCTTTTCTGTTGCATGTTTGTGGAGATTGACACTTTTTCTTTACAGGCATATGCATCTTCAGAGGCCAAATGTAATGCATCTCTGCAACTTCCTAAGATCCCTTCATTCCATAAATTTGCAAGACGCGAGCAATATGCACAAATGGATGATTCTGATCTCAGAAAGAAGTGGTCAGGTGGTGTTTTGGGAAGACAAGATTGTGTATCAGAAATAGACTCCAGGAACTGCAGGGTTAGGGACTGGTCTGTTGATTTCTCTGCTGCTTGTCTAAACCTTGATAGTTCTAGAATGTCAGTGGATAACCTCTCGCAGCATAGCCATTCAAATGAGATTGCTTGCCATTTGAAACTTAGAGAGCACTCTGGAGAAAGTGCAGCAGTGGACAGCAGTATCTTTACCAGAGCATGGGTTGATACTGCAGGTAATGGTGGGATAAAAGACTACCATGCCATTGAGAGATGGCAGTCTCAAGCAGCAGCTGCTGATCCTAATTTCTTCTGTCCAACCTCACATTTATACGATGAAGAAGATTCAAACACAAGTTTAAGACCACCCATGTGCAAGCATGATGGACAAGCTAATGAGAGCTCCATATCACAAGTTACAATAAACAAAGAGTCGCTCAAAAATCATTTACGGGGTGCAGACCGAATAAAGCAGGCTGTTGTGGATTATGTTGCATCATTGCTCATGCCCCTTTATAAGGCGAGGAAAATTGATAGAGATGGGTACAAGTCAATAATGAAAAAGACTGCGACAAAGGTTGATAGTTTCTCTCATCATCTCGATTCCTTTTTATTGTATCTTGTCTCACTTTTAAGGCATGTTGCAACAAATACCAATCATCTGATATTCTTATCATTTGCCTCCTTTTGAATCAGGTCATGGAACAGGCTACCGATGCAGAGAAAGCCATGGCTGTTTTTGAGTTTCTTGATTTCAAACGCAAGAATAAGGTGTGTACTTGTATGGTGGTATTAATATCAGAGTTATTCAACCATTATAAGTATGCAGATTAAGCATCTACCTGTCTCTATTGGTTGCTTTGGACATAATCCTTGGAAACCATTTTTTTCTGGATGTTGGATCTTACTAAAAAATTTGATATGGATCCATTTTTTGCATACTATTATGTACGGACTAATCGATATAAATAATTCTCTTTCATTTTTTGTCATGAAAGGAAGCATATCCTCAGCTGGTTATTTTGATTTAATACACTTATCAATCTTTGTTACAACACATTTTGAAGATGGAGCTAAATAAATCAAACTTTTCTTGCCAATCTTTTATGAAAATGGAGCTAAAAAACTTGGCTTTCTCATAAACCTGCAGATTAGATCCTTTGTGGACAAATTGATTGAGAGGCACATGGCAATGAAGCAAGCTCCAAAACCTTGATGGTCCTGAGGATTTGCTAGTCTTTGTTTTCTGTTAACTTGGGAACAAGACATGCTGAAATCTGTTGGTGCACAAGTTCACAGCCTATGATGGCGGTAATTCTGTGCAAGGAATTAGTAATTTGGTTCTTGGTGCAAATGTTTCGCCCGAACCATCAATATACCAATCTTGATCCGGAAGGTGCCATGAAAGGAAAGCAGATGGTTCTATGTAGCCTACTCTGTGACAAATGACAAGCCGTGATGCAAGTGCTTTCTTGCAGATGTGATCGCCTCTGGGCAAGTACTGGAGTATGGCAGCTGAGGCCATTGCCCATCCCAGAACAACCTTATTTATTGTAAATGCAGTCAATGCAAATGTTGTAGCTCATCTTATCCACATTATGGGCTCCAGCATGTTTGAGGTTAATTCTCAGTTTACTTCTGGCAGTTAGTTATCTACTTGAAAGGAAGGATTAGTCCAGACCCTAATTTTTTACTGAGGGATCCCCACAAACGAGATGCAACTTGTGATTTACTTTCTAATTTTCTTTTGATTATACGTACAGCTTAGGATTGTTTAGTGGTCACTGTGGTAGAGAAAATTTGTCTTCCAACTGGAAGCACTTTCACTTTGTCCTGATTTTTTGAGTAAATGACAGTTGCTAACTTGTTGCCTTTGGAAGTACATGATATTTCTTATTTTTAACATCATTTGGTTACTTCTCTGTCTAAAAGATGAGGAAAATAACTGTATTTGCATCTAACAAGTCCTTGACATAGACCAATAAAAGGTGTTATGTTCACGGAAGCCTTCATGAGCGCCAGAATTCATTATTAATGAGGAGAGGTTCTGGAGTTGACTCTGTTAAATGGTCACATTCTCTATGGTCTTATGATACAGTGAGGGTTGTAGATTGTGCTAATAGTTTGGGTCAGGTTGCACTATAGCGATCTGTCTTTCTGTGTGTTGTACCAGCCAGAAGGTAAATAGAATTTCTTTTCTCCTCCCTTTTAGCCTTTATCTTGTTTAATTTTCACCGCAATGCTGACAGTTGTGTCTTCTTTCCAGGTGGGGAAGTAGGATTTGATTCTTGTCCTGCTTGTGGGAGGTATGCCATTTCTTCCTCAAATAATTAGATCTACGTGTCTAGTAATACCTGTCCTTCATAGCATTTTTTTTTTATCCCTGCCCTACAAATTTCACTTGGGCAGATTTGGAGATGGTGTTGGAACTTCATAGGAAATCATAATCCAAGTCATCACCCTATGCGATCGATGTACTTCTGTGTAGGTTAATTTGTTGACTTCTTTGATGATATATGAAACTTAAAATTATACTTAAGGGGGGGCTGAATGCTGATCGAACTCCTTCTTGACCAGAAGTTGATGCCTGGATTTCTTGGCAGAAGTGATGCTGGTGGGTGTTGATCGGGGCAATTGCCCTGTTGGTTATTCATGGCCGTTCAATGCATTTCTGCTGATAAGCAGCTGAAAGCATTCACTGATTCCCTTATGTTCTCTGATGTTTAAATTTGGATGGGCGGTGGCTAGAGTGTTTCAAGAGATGCTTTTGATTTTACCAAATTCAGTCTCTTAGCTTCTGTCCAGTTGCCGTATCTCCTCATTGCTCGTGTCTATTTTGGTTAATTAAGAAACATAAAAATGTAAATTTATATTTATTCTGACCGGTGGATATTGAAATGTTAATGCATATTAGTTCTATATAATCTATGAGTTTTTTTTTTTTTTTTTTGTGTTTCATTCACAAATGAATTCTTATTCGGGTTTTTAGCTTTTATAATCTTTTAATGCAATTAGCATATTTTCTAAGTTTGCACCGTAACTTTATTAAATAAGCAAAAGATGTACTAAATACTATATAATTAATTTAAGAAAATATTTACTAAATACATTTATTATAATTTAGTTATTTTAAAGAATTATTATTATTTTTATTTTTTACGGGAAAAAGTTAAAATAATTATATTATATTTGGATATTTTGAAAATAATTCGAAAATATAATTAAATTAAATTAATTAAGGTCATTTTTTTTAAAAAAAATGTTTTATAAAGTATTTAATTATAATATAATTATTTTGCTTTTTATTAGAAATTAAAAAAAAATTATATATTTATTTAAAAATTAAAAGCAAATTATAATTTATAGACTAATATCATATTTTTGATAATTAATTAGAACATATATTTATATTAATAAAATACAAGTAAGACATAAAACAACAATTAAAACAGAAACTGAGAGCTTTGGACTCTCTCCCCCAATCAAGCTTACAAAAACTTGCTATTTATTAAAACGCATAATTTTTCAAATCTTTAAAATTTTTAAAAGCATTCAAAAAATTTAATAAAATTTGAACTATATATATATATAGTTTCTACATCTTTTTTCAACCCAGGGTGTTTAATAAGAGAATTATTATTATTACTTCCAGTCCATCTCTGTTTGCAATACCAGACCTTACCACACGCTCCTCCTCTCTCATTCCCATCTCCACCATCATTCCCCACCATTCTTCTCCTCTCTCTCTCTCCATCCATCCTCCATTCTTCTCTCTCCCTCTTCTTCTCTGCAGTCCATGACATATGGCAACGGTCATTTTTCTCCTCCTCTTCACCACCCTCTCCTACGCTCAAAAAACTGCCATCCAGTTACACGAGATCAGAGCCTTGACTTCCTTCAAGCTTAGCCTCCATGACCCCCTCGGCGTCTTCGACACTTGGGACGACTCCACCCCCTCTGCCCCATGCGACTGGCCCGGCATTCTCTGTTACAGAAACCGAGTCCGGGAGATTCGCTTACCTCGTCTCCGACTCGCTGGTCCGCTCACTGTGCAGCTCGCCAACCTGCGTGAGCTGCGCAAGCTCAGTCTCCATTCCAACAACTTTAATGGCTCTATCCCACCTTCTCTCGCTCAATGCGCTTTCCTACGTGCTCTCTACTTGCATGACAACTCATTCTCCGGCGATCTTCCCCCGGCCATTTTTAACCTTACCAACCTTCAAGTCCTCAACGTGGCTCACAATCTCCTTTCCGGGAAAATCTCTGCTGGTATATTGCGGAGCCTCAGGTACCTCGAATTATCCTCTAACGATTTCTCCGGTGAGTTACCTACGAATTTCTCCGGGGAATCCCAACTCCAGTTCATTAATTTATCGTACAACCGTTTTTCCGGTGAAATGCCGGCTAGTATCGGTCAGCTTCAGCGCCTCGAGTATCTCCTGTTGGATTCCAACCAGTTGTACGGTACTCTGCCATCGGCCATTGCCAACTGCTCCTCGCTCAAACACTTGAGCGCAGAAGATAATGCGCTCAAAGGTTTGGTTCCGGCGACAATCGGTGCTATTCCCAAGCTTCAGATTCTTTCTCTGTCGCGCAACCAGCTTTCCGGTCACGTTCCGGCGAGTATTTTCTGTGGTGGGTCCGGGAACTCCTCATCCTTAAGGATTGTGAAGTTAGGGATTAATATTTTCACGGGCGTCGTCAAGCCGCCAAATGAAGGGTGGGTCAGCAACATGGAGGTTTTGGACCTTCACGAGAATCACATACATGCCCTGTTTCCCTCTTGGTTGACTAATTTGACTTCGCTCAAGTTCTTGGATCTTTCTAGAAACTTCTTTTCCGGCGGTTTGACCCCTAATATTGGGAATCTCGTGAACTTGGAGGAGCTTAGAGTCGCGAACAACATGCTCACTGGTCGCGTTCCAACTGAGATTTTGAAATGTAGTTCATTGCAGGTTATTGATCTTGAAGGAAACCAGTTTTCAGGTAAAATACCGAGGTTTTTAAGTGACTTAAGGAGCAGATTGAAGACTCTTTCTTTGGGGAGGAATGGATTTTCTGGTTCGATTCCCTCTGGTTTTGGGAGCATGAATGTGCTTGAAACTCTGAACTTAAGTGAAAATAACCTCACTGGCAGTATTCCGGGAGAGATAATGCGGCTGGGAAATTTGAGTAGTCTCAATCTCAGCTTCATAAAGTTTTCCGGCGAGATTCCTCAGAGGATAGGGGAGTTGA